ATTTCGCCATTACTGCTATATCAAATTGGCATAAATCGACTCAACTTTCGTTACAAATCAAACAATAAAATAACGTTCCAGACAAATCCAAACGATCGTTATCTGTGATCTGAGTGGTTGAATCGATATAGTCATGTTAAATAGTAATTATATTTTGAAACAAGTAATCTACTGTACTATTTCTAGTCACCGTTGTGCTATCAATAAATTAGGATTATGACAATACTTTAGTTGTGTCATTTTGTTTGTGTGTTATACTTAGTTGGCTGGTAAATATAACTACAGGCATATTCAAAACATATAAACGCGTAACACGCTGGATTCTAACTGACAGCAGCAAAACACTTCCTGAATAGACAGATTTGAAAAATGAATGCGAAACCTAAAAGTAGATGGGCCCCAAGAACAACTACACTAATTCATATAAAGCCAGTGCGACCTTTAGAAATGGTATTATTTGTATGTTGTCCAGAATGAATATTTTACAAATGCATGTACAGATACTATAGAGATACGCGTTTTCAATATTTGATGAAGTTTGTGAATTTACACTATCAATATTTACCTTACGAAAATGAACCTGGTATAGTAAATAAACTGCGTATTTCCGCTGACCGAGTGAATCCACGTTGATTTGACACCCTCTCTCGTAGGTATGATAGCCTAGCAAGCGGGAAACTTGGCACATCCCAAACAAATTTATTTAATAACATTTTAAATTAAATGTGACAACTGTGTATTTTCGAAATGGGCGCGTTCAAGATAAAATATTCGTTATTGTGGCACTATTTTATCTGAAGCCCCAGAAGTCATGACCTAAAGTCAGACGATACGATATACATTGCGTTGATTGCTATATTGTGAAAAATATATTACATGGATTTGATTAAAATAAAATATTTACAGTGGTATGTATAATGCTTTCAGAAAAGCGATTTACTCGTTATGAACGTAAAACATTGATAAATTTGAAAAAAATCCGTCACTGCATATAAATACACTCTCTTGTGCTCGTCGTTGATTGGTCGGTCGATTAATCACAGTGGTAGTATTTTTAAAGATGTTTTGCTTTGACCCACATCGTGGAAAACCGCGAGAATTATTATAGCCAAGCCAGTTGTCTCAATTGAATTTGAATGAAACGTTCGATGAATGTTAAATATTAGTCATAAAAAAAAGCATTGTGTAAATTCGAATATTTTATAGTTAATGTAATCGATTGTAAGAGTTATTTAAAAATTAGACCATCAAACTGAACACAATTGGTAGCTGGCTGATGTTGGTGGCTTTCACTGCCATAGCTTATTTCTCATTGTTTCCTCGTCAAGGTAATATTCCTGATTAGGTACGTTGCCTGAATTTGGTATGTAACAACTGGCTAAATACTACGTTATTGTTCTCTATCGTATGCTGCTACCCTTTCGTTGACGGTGTAATAAAAACACTGACTCTCCACGGCTTCCATTGTTTTCTGCAGCGAGAGCCACAAGGGAGAACTTTCAATAGCTGACCGACGTCGACACAGTAGCATAAATTATATGGAAAAACATCTGGAATACTCGGAATGCACATAACATTATGTTTTGTACTAAATTGCGCTGAAACTGATACAAATATTTCGAATGAATTACGTTTATTTACACTGCCCTGATGTTCTGTGTGAAAATATAAAATAGCAACAATCACGTGATTGATATTTTCATTTGGAACACAGTAGTTTTAATTTTTATAACAATATAAATGAATGGATAACTCGCTTGCATGTATGATAAATGTGGTTACCATTACACTTAAGAACAAGTACACGTCCACCAGCAATGATAAACACTAACAAATATCATATTTTATTAGGAAAATATTTATTATATACGAGTCGCTATACAAATTTAATTCTTTCTCTTATAACACATGTTATCAACTCTATTTTAAAATAAACAAAAACTAAGCAATATAACTATTTAACCATCTTGTATGAATCCAGTGCCCGCCTACCTGTACTCTACTTGGAATCGCGGTAAAGGACGTGAATGACTACATAGTGTACAAGTGATTTCTTTCAAGGATATTACTAAGTGATCTGACTTTCAATGCGTCACCTGCTCCTGGAGATTGTATTGGCCAATCATGTTCAATTGGTTCTGTTGGTGTACACGTGTTTGGCTTAGTTTCCAATGTTAACACAAGATTCATATATCAAATATCGTAAGTGGATGACGATGTATTACAAACGTGGAATTTGAATTTGTGTTCATTTTGTAACCAAGTGGAGTGCGAGAAAAGAGATACTATCCATCACCTGGAAAATCTCAAGAGAATGTCCGTGCACTATTAAAGCAGAGAGTTTCTATTTTGCTTTGAAGCAAACTACAATGTTAATAACAGAGAAAGACATGGCCAAAAAAAATGTGCCAAATAAAACTGTTAATGCTACGTGATGAACAACTACCGAAATATACATAGATTTCGAAATAGAATCCAGAAGTAAAACTTGAGTGTAATCACATAAGTGACATTCAATGCAAGAAACTTACTTTATTACAAATATTTATCATACGTATAGGCAGAGCCAATACAATTGTACTTTATTACAAATATTTATCATGTAGGTAGAGCAATACAAATCAAAATATTTTTTCACTGTGTAGAGAATCGTGATGTGACAATATTGGTACAAGCTGCAGATACAGATGTCTTAATAAAGCTTTTGTCGAACGTCCATTGAATGAGGTGCACAAAATTATAGATGAAAGCTCGAACTACAAAGAAAAGATGGTGCATTCCATTCCACACTCTTCTGAAGTTTTGGACTTTTTTTTTTTTTTTTCCATAAATTCATGAACTGAGACTGATTTTTTTTTTCAAAAACCGATCATATCTTCATTCATCGATTTTGAAACAAAAACAAGTCTTTATCCCAATATGTGAACAGTGCTCCCTAAGCTGTAATTATATTGTAAAATGTGTTTAATTCGGTTGTAGACCTGTTGTACCAAACATAACACGCACCAAGATACATTGTATGAAATAGTATATTCCTTTGATGTTTACACATGTTGTGTACTCCCTGATAATAGCGACGATATAGTTTGATCAATGACATCACGTGTTCACATTTGATTTACTAATTTTATTTGGTATTGGCAACTTTGCAAGGCTTTAACCGCGAGAGACGTCCCTGGTAATCACGCGAGTTTATGAGAGAGCTTGTAAGTCTTTGT